TGAGACTATGGCCCCTAGCTGCCCTTCAGGTCTGGAATTGAACCCACACCTGTGGTTTCCAGCCAAACAAAGTACAGGCACGTGAGTTAAACATTTACCTCAAGTAGACACACACCCTGGAGAGAACAATCATGGGAGAAGGAAGGGCTGCTTATGCACAGGGAGACAGCTCAGAGGGCAGGAGAGTATGGAGGGATGGACACTGGGAAGAGGTAACTATGGGGAGGAAGTGGGAGGGGAGCTGTTGCATTGTGGTAAATTTTGGTCAATGACATGAGACAAAGTATATGTGAACTGCTGTATGAAAAGTGAATTTACTCTGTAAATCTTCACCCAAATCAAAAAAAAAAAAAAAAAAAGAAAAGAAAAGAATTATATGCCCAGCAAAACTGTCTCTCAAATATGATGGCAAAATTAGGATATTTCCAGATAAATAGAAATTAATGGAATTTGTTAAAACCAGACCAACCTTACAAGAGATGCTAAAGGGTGTCCTTCAGACAGAAAACCAACAACAGAAGACAAGAACCAATGATTAACACACATGACAATATAATCTAGAAATCAATGCAGATATAGAAGTATAGAAAGTAAAATAAACTTACAAGAATGTAAACACAGAACTAGTGACATCAATTCATAAATAAGGACAACTACAAACCAAAAGCAAGTAATAAACAGTGTAGGTATGGAACTTCTAAATGGAGAGGAAATCAAGATGATTCTGAGATACAAAAAACTGTTTTTAAACATGGGGAGGAAATAATAAATCATAGGATAACCTCAAAGAAAATTAATAAACCTTCTTATCAAAATAAAAAAGAAGGCACAAATATTTAACAAATACTAAAATAACAGCAACAAAGGACATGGTAAAATTCATAAACAAAAAGAGCTTAGCACAGGTAGCATAATGCTTAAGGTTTCTGACTGCTAACCACAAGGCTGGCGGTTCAAACCACCAGCCACTCCTCTGAAGGAAGGTTGGGCAATGTACTTCCATAGTACCTCGGAAACCCAAGGAGGAGTTGCTGTGAGTCGGGGCCAACTCGACGACACATAACAACAACAACAAAACAACAGCAATGAAGGACATAATAACAAAATTCATAAACAAAATGACTTTGCACAGAAAATTATATTAACAAAGAAATCAGCAACATCACAAAAATAAACATAACAAAATGACAGCAATAAATTCATACTTGATGATAATTACATTTAACGTAAATGGATTAAATTTACCAATCAAGAGATAGTGAATTGTAGAATGGATAAGAAAATATAACCCATCAATATGCTGTCTACAAGACACACAATCAAAGGCTGTTTCAAATCAAAGGTTGGAAAAAAATATATCAAGCAAATGGCAATCAAAAAAGAGCAGAACAGGCAATATTAATTTCTGATTAATTAGACTTTAAGGCAAAAACCAGCAAAACAAACAAGGAAGGACAATATACAATGATTAAAGGGTCAAGTGAATAGGAGGACATAACCACAATAAATATCTATGTACCCAATGAAAGAACCCCAAAATATATAAATCAGACTAACAGAATTGAAAAGACAAATTGACAACTCCACAATAATATTGTGTTGTTGTTCTTATGTGCTGTCGAGTCATCTCCGACTCAGAGTGACCGAAGAGTGGCTGGTGGGTTTGAACCACCAACTTTCTGGTTAGCAGTCAAGTGTCTTAGGCACTATGCCACCAGAGCTCCCCCTACAGTAATATTAGGAAACTTTAATACACCACTTTCAATGAAGGATAGAACAATTAGAAAGGAAAACTCAACAGAGACACAGGAAAACTAAATGATACAAACAACCAACTTCACCTTACAGACAGTTACAGAGCACATCACCCAAGAACAGCACAATATACATTTTTTTTGCAGTGCACATGGAACGTTCTCCAGAACAGACCATATTTTAGGCACCAAAGCAAGCCTCAAATCTAAAACACTGATATACTGCAAAACCTCTTCTCAGATCACAATGCTATAAAGTTAGAAATCAACAATAGGAAGATAAAGGGGGGGGGGAAGCAAATACATGGAATAGAATAACACCATCCTTCAAAACTACTGGTAATAGAAGAAATAAAAAATGAATTAAAAAAAATTGCTAGACTCAAACATGAAGGAAAACACAGTATACCCAAATCTTTGGGAAACAGCAAAAGCATTGCTGAGAGGGCAATTTATGGCAATACATGCAAGCATAAAAAAAAGAAGAAAAGCCAAAATTAACAGCTTAACCCAACATAATTGACAATTAGAAAAGAGCAGCAAAAAAAGCCTAGAGTTACTATAAGAAAAGAAATAATAAAGATTAGAGCAGAAATAAATGAATCAGAAAATAGAAAACAGAGAGAATCATCAAGACCCAGAAGTTAGTTCTTTGAAAAGATTAATGAAATTGACAAACCATTGGCAAATTTAACAAAAGAAAAGAAGGAGAGAATACAAATAACATGAATAAGAAATGAAATGGGCAACACAAACAACTGAAATAAAAAGGATAATATCAGGATACTATGAAGAACTGTACTCCAACTAATTTGAAAACCCAGAAGAAATGGACAGATTTCTAGAAGCCCGCTACTTATCTAAACTAACATAGACTGAGGTAGAAAATTTGAACAGACTCGTAACAAAAGAATAAATTGAACAAGTCTTAAAAAAAACCCTACCTCCCCCTCAATAAAAAGGGGCTGCCCTAGATGGCAATCTCTCATTGGAGATTTCTATCAAACATTCAGAGAAGAGCTCACACTTTTCTTACTCAAACTATTCCAGAACATAGAAAAGAATGGAATCCTCCAAATTCATTTTATGGAGCAAGCATAACCTTGATACCAAAACCAGGGAAAGACACCATTAGAAACACTAGAAAGGAAAGCTACAGACCAATATTCCTCATGAATGTTGTTGTTGTTGTTATTTGCCGTCGAGTCAGCCCCGACTCATAGTGACCCCTCCTTGGGTTTCCGAGGCAGTTATCACTACAGAAGTAGGATTGCCCAACCTTCCTTCCGAGGAGTGGCTGGTGGGTTTGAACCGCCAGCCTCCTGGTTAGCAGTCAAGTGCCTTAGGCACTATGCTACCAGAGCTCCTCTCCTCATGAATACAGATGTAAAAATCTTCAACAAAATCCCAGCCAATGGACTCCAACAACATATCAAAACATAATACATCAAGACAAAGTGGGGTTCATACCAGGTATGCCAGATGGTTAAATTAGAAAAACAATCAACATACTCCATCACATAGTAAAATAATGGAAAAGAACCACATGATCATATCAATAGATGCAGAAAAAGTATCTGATAAAATCTAACACCCACTCCTGACAAAAAAATCTCAGGAAAATAGGAATAGAAGGGAAATTCCTCAATATAATAAAGGGCATATACACAAAGCCAACAGCCAACATCACTCTCAATGGAGAAAGAATGAATGCATTCCCCTTGTGAATGGGAACCAGACAAGGATGCCCTCTATCACTACTTCTATTCAACACTGTATTGGAAGTACTCATGCATTTACTCTCACTGCCATGGAGTCATTTCTGACTCATAGCGACCCCTCCTTAGGTTTCTGAGGTGGTATCACCAAGGAAGTAGATTGCCCAATCTTCCTTCTGAGGAGTAGCTAGTGGGTTTGAACTGCTAGCCTTCTGGTTAGCAGTCAAATGCCTTAGGCACTACTCTACTAGAGCTCCCATTGGAAGTACTAGCCAGAGTAATAAGTCAAGAAAGAGGAATAAAAGTCATCCAAATTGGTAAGGAAGAAGTAAAATTATCCCTATTTGCAGATGATACGATCCTATACTTAGAAAATCCTAGAGACTCAGCAAAGAATAGCACTGAGTCACTTGATTTATTAATGTGACAATTTCCAGGGTATTGTGTATTCGTGGCTATAATTCAGGGCACTTTAGCGTTTCCATGACTAGACCAACGATGAGTGCAGGCCTCTCCTGACCTATACCACTGTTCAGTGAGGTAGCAGTATTGGATCAACGTATCTGAGACTGGGAGACGGTAAGAAATCTGCTAAGATAGCAAACACAGCTAGTAAACGTCAGAATGTGGATTTAATATTTTTGAACTTGAAAGCATGTGGCCTTTATTCTACTTATATCACTTGGGTATTTAAGACAAGTAAACGCATATACTACTCTTTTTATCAGTACCAGGAGCTCTGGTAG